TTTGTTTGTTTTTAGTTTCATTTATTTCTGCTCTAGTTTTTATTATTTCCTTCCTTCTACTGGTTTGGGGTTTTGTTTGTCCTTTTTCTAGCTCCTTTAGGTGTGTGGTTAGGTTGTTTATTTGAGATTTTTCTTGCTTCTTGGGATAGACCTGCTATGAACTTTCCTCTTAGAACAGCTTTTGCTGCCTCCCAAAGATTTTGACCACTGCGTTTTCATTTTCATTTGCATGTATTCTTTGATTTCCTGTTTGATTTCTTGGCGACCCATTCATTGTTTAGTAGCATGTTATTTAACCTTCACGTATTTTTGTTTTTTCCAGATTATTTTCTTGTGGTTGATTTCTAGTTTCATAGTGTTGTGGTCAGAAAAGATGCATGGAATGACTTCGATGTTCTTGAATTTGTTGAGACTTGTTTTGTGACTTAATATATGATCTATTCTGTAGAATGTTCCATGTGCGCTTGGGAAGAAGGTATATTATTCTGTTCTGTTCTGAATATATCTGTTAGATATATCTTGTCCAGTGTGTCATTCAAAGCTACTGTTTCTTTGTTGATTTTCTGTTTGGATGATCTATCCATTGATATAAGTGGGGTGTTAAAATCTCCTAGTATTATTGTGTTACTATTGATTATTCCCTTTATGTTTGTTATTAGCTGCTTTATATATTGGGTGCTCCCATGTTGGGTGCATAAATATTTACAATTGTTATATCTTCTTGTTTTGTTTTTCCCCTTGTGATTATATGGTGTCCTTCTTTTTCTCTTGTTACAGTCTTTATTTTAAAGTCAGTTTTGTCCATTATAAGTATTGCTACCATGGCTTTCCTTTCACTTTCATTTACATGATAAATGCTTTTCCATCCCTTCACTTTCAACCTGCATGTGTCTTTCTTTTTAATTAATTAATTATTTTAAAAGATTTTATTTATTTATTTGTCAGAGAGAGAGAGAGAGAAACAGTGAGCACAAGCAGGGTGAGGGGCAGAGGGAGAAGCAGACTCCCCGCTGAGCAGGGAGCCCAATGCGGGACTCGATCCCGGGACCCCAGGATCATGACCTGAGCTGAAGGCAACTGCTTAACCAACTGAGCATTGTCCCCTGTTCATCGGAATCTGGCACTTCAGGCGTGTCTCCTGTGAGTGTTGCATGTGCCCTGTTGTTGTGGCTGAGCCATGTTTGCCTTCAGTCCAGTCATCTGCAGTGGCTCTCTTTGCCTATTGTGGGCAGGGTTTGGTCCCTGTGTTGTTAGTGGACTGGTCTGGGGACACCTTGGGCTTAAGTTGAGTCAGACCAGGCATTTGCCAGAGATGCAGGAGCACCTAACTGCAGGTGAATGTGGAGGCAGGGTGCTTGGTGCCAGCAAGGTCCAAGCTGACAGGACTGGACCTCCAGCCCGGGAGACTGAGGCAGGTTGTGTTGGAGGGGGCAGATCTACAGAAGTGCTCTGGGTTGGGATGCATGGTGTTAGCAAGGTTTACGTGGGTCTGTTGTGAGAGGAGACCTGGATCAGAGGCCTGGCTGGAGGGGGCATGTCAGCTGGAAAACGGGGGTGAGGGGGTGGGCGTGGGGATGGCGGCAGGGTCAGGGAGAGTGCACTGTTAGCAAGTTAGGTAGCAGGTGTTGGTGCTGCACTGGTTGCCAAAGATATTAGTGTGTTTATGCTGGGGGTGAGTCATGAGAATGGTACCTGCTAGTAATTTTGTTCCTGGAGAGGTCTCCCAAAGATCCCTGCCTCTCCAGCACATGCTCTGAGATTTGTATAAACAAATCTCCCTCTTGTACACCCCAGGCATTTTTCAAACTGCTGCTCTTGTGCTGTATCTGCATGGGGGCTGTTTGTTTTGCTGTTTCTTTAAGGGTGGGGACTCAGTTTCTCTTGCCCTCCTGGCTCCCTGTTTCTCACTCCTGGCTCCCTCCTGTCTCTCACTCCCGTCTCTCCCATAAGCCTGCTGATTTTTAAACTTCCAGATGTTAAGCCTTGCTGATTGTTAAGAACTCCTGAAATTCAGCTCCTCTGGTTTTCAAAGCCAGATGTGATGGGGATTGGTCTTCCCTGTGTGGGCTCCCTGGTGTGAGGGTCTGTTTCTCTCTCCTCTCTGTGCCCATGGTGTTCCTCCCTTCTATGGACAGTCCTGCAGGTCCATTTAGCTCCCAGCCACATCTCTGTCCTTCCTACCTTCTTCAAAGTGGCCTCTTCTCTACATTTAGTTGTGGAGTCTGTTCTGCCAGCCTTTGGGTCATTTTCTGGGTTATTTATACTGAATTGGCTGTTACCTAGTTGTGTCCCCAGGATGAGGTGAGCTTATGGTCCTCTTACTTTGCCATTTTCCCCAGAAGTCTCCTGATGTTATGATGTTGTTATTTTTGTGCATGTCTCTTAGTACACATGTGCAGGAGTTCCTCTAGGGCATATTCCCAGAAGTGGAATAACTGCATCATTGATATGTGTATGCCCACCTCATTGAATTATGCCATATTGTTTTCCAAAGTGGTATTCCAATTCATACTCTTGTCTACTATGTGTAAAATTTACCCTTACTTAACATTTTCAGCAATCCCAGACTTTTTAAAAAAAGTTACCAATCTGATGTATGTAAAACATTGCTACTTAAATGATCACATCTAGAAACTGTTACCTGTCCACAATTTAATCAAAGCCTGCTTGCTTTACTGAAGAAGTCTTGTGAAAAAAAATATTGTCAGCTGCAGTAAATAATATACTTAGTAATGTGGTTGATTTACATGCTGATGTAATTTTAATTTACAGGCCAACTGACCACTCTTTAAATAGCAAGGTGGAATGATATTTTATTGTGGTTTAAATTAATATTTACGTGATTACTAATGAGATTGTGCATTTTCCCCTACATTCATGTATCATTTATGTTTCCTCTTAAATTAGAAACTTGTTTATCTCTTTCGTTTATTTTTTATTTTTATTTTTTATTTTTTTTAAGATTTTATTTATTTATTTGACAGAGACACATCAAGAGAGGGAACACAAGCAGGGGGGAGTGGGAGAGGGAGAAGCAGGCTGATGCAGGGCTTGATCCCAGGACCCTGGGATCATGACCTGAGCCAAAGGCAGATGCTTAACGACTCAGCCACCCAGGTGCCCCTCTTTCATTTACTTTTTAATTGGGTTGATCTTACATATTCTGGATACTAATCCTTTGTTATATAGGTTGCTATTCTGTTCTTCCAGTTTTTTTTTTTTTTTTATTTGACAGAGAGAGAGACAGCCAGAGAGGGAACACAAGCAGGGGGAGCAGGAGAGGGAGAAGCAGGCTTCCCACTGAGCAGGGAGCCTGATGTGGGGCTTGATCCCAGGACCTGGGATCATGACCTGAGCCTAAGGCAGACGCTTAACACCTGAGCCACCCAGGCGCCCCTGTTCTTCCAGTTTTTGGCTTGTCTTTCACTTTCTTTAATAAACAGATGTTCTTAACACTAATAAGTCACTTTTTGGCTAGTGCTTTTGGGTTTTGTTTGTGAAATTATTCCCTCCCAAACAGTCAAAAAGATATTTTCCTGCATTCTAAAAGTCTTTAGTTTTGCCATTCAAATGTAAATCCTTAGTCCACCTAGATTTGATGTTTGAGTGTGTGTGTGGTGTGAGATAGGGATCTAAATATACTCTTTTCCGTATGGATAATCCCTTTCCTTAACACCACTTAATTGAATTATTCGCATAGTGATTTGTAATAGCATTTGTCATATTTCCGATATCCGCATGTGTATGGGTTTGTTGCTGGGCTCTCTTTGCTTTATTAGTTTGTCTTTCTCTACTTGTGCCAATAGCCAAGTGTCTTAATTACCATAGCTTCATAACAAGTTGATACCTGGTAAGGCAATTCCCTCCACTTTGCTGTTATTCTTCAGAAGTACCATAGGCAACTCTATGAATGTATAGCATATATGTTTATTATGTAAATAAAGAAAATTTAAATTTTTTAAATTATTGTTATTTATTTATTTATTTGACAGAGAGAGACACAGTGAGAGCGAGAACACAAGCAGGGGGAGTGGGAGAGGGAAAAGCAGGCCTCCTGCTGAGCAGGGAGCCTGATGCGGGACTCGATCCCAGGGCTCCGGGATCATGATGTGAGCTGAAGGCAGACGTTTAACGACTGAGCCACCCAGGCACCCCTAAAATTTAAATTATTAAAAAGAAATTCAGGATACATATACATATTACATAATAGTAGAGCTAACATACTCTATTGAGCCTGAACTGGATTAAGTTAAAAATAAGTGAAGACAGGGGTGCCTGACATGCTCAGTTCGTAGAGCATGTGACTTTCGATCTCGGGGTTGTAAGTTCAAGCCCCACGTTGGGTGTAGAGATTACTTAAAAATAAAATCTAAAACAAAAAAGTAAATGAAGGCAGAATTGTTCAGTTAGATGTTTGATTGGCTTTAGTTTCAAGAATTGCAGTTTCTACTCTTAGTTTTTTTGTTTTTAAGATTTATTTATTTATTTATTTGAGAGAGAAAGAGCACAAGCAGGAGGGGCAGAGGGAGGCAGGGAGGGAATCCGAAGCAGACTCCACACTGAGCACCGAGCCCAACACTGGACTTGATCCCGCGATCCTGAGATCATGACCTGAGCTGAAACCAAGAGTTGGACACAACTGACTGGGCCACCCAGGCACCCCTACTACTACACTTTTTAAAGAATGGTTGAGACTCCGAAAATACTGACTATTTTTGTTTTGAAAAACATTGGTTAAGAATGTAAAAATTAGGGCGCCTGGGTGGCTCAGTTGGTTGAGTGACTGCCTTCGGCTCAGGTCATGATCCTGGAGTCCCTGGATCGAGTCCCGCATCGGGCTCCCTGCTCGGCGGGGAGTCTGCTTCTCCCTCTGACCCTCCCCCCTCTCATGTGCTCTCTCTCTCAAATAAATAAATAAAATCTTTAAAAAAAAAAAAGAATGTAAAAATTATGGATGTAATGGTTAATATTAATATTTTACATGTTTTTTTCCTTTCAAGTCTTGATACATCATCAAAAGCATGGTCTTTCCAAGATGGCTTATCAGACACCTCTTTATCCTTGTTCTGTATATGTTCAGGTGCCCAGCAGACATTTTGCTGCTGCTATAAAGTAAGTATTTTTTTTATTAATTTTGTTTGTTTTCATTTAAAATTTTGATTAAAAAACATTATGCTTTTGTCCCATAAAGATGTACAGGGACATACAGTTGTGAAAGTTAAACATCTCTGCTTTTTTGACCCTTTGTGGTTGTAAAGGAAAATATGACTTATAGTATACTATACTTAACATTTATTGAACACTGACATTCAGTGGCTGATTTAGGTTCCGCAGCTACTTTATGTGGAAGCTGTTGTTAGCATGTTCTTTTTTGAGTTGAAAAGCATGGCGTTGAAAGATTATGTAACTTGCCTAGGTTCACAGAGGTAGTAATTGTTGGAGCTAGGACTTTGTGACATAATAAATATTTATATTGGTCTCTGCCTCCAGTTCCTGATACAGAGCTCCTAAAATTCCTGTAATCTTCTGAGTGATAGGGATGCTAGGAGCATCTATTATTCTAATATTTGGTCTTTGACCCAGTTTCTGATACAGAGCTCCTAAAACCCTTGTAATTTTCTGGGTGATAGGAGCACTTTTGTTCTATTTTTTTTTTTTTTTTTTTGCATCTTTTGTTCTAATAAGGAACTCTTGGGGCTCCTAGATGGAGGCTGGTCACCAGAAAGACCAAGCCATGATTAGAAGCTTTCAGCCCCACCTGTCATCCAGAGAAGCTAGAGATTGAATTCATAATCAATCATGCCTCCATAAAAATCCCTGTATTATGAGGTTCCAAAAGTTTCTGGATTGGTGAACATATACATTTGCCCAAAGGGTGGTGCACCCAGACCCAGCGGGAACAGAAACTCTTGTACTCCAGACTCTTCTGGACCTTGCCCTGTCCACCTATTTATCTGTATCCTTTATCATATCTTCTATTATATAATAAACTGGTAAATGTTAAAAAAGTGTTTCTCTGAGTTCTGTGAGTTATTCTAGGAAATTATGAAGTCTGTGGAGGGGGTCATAGGATCCCTTGATTTATAGCCAGTTGGCCAGAAATACCAGAGGCCTTGAATTGTGATTGGCATCTGAGGTGGAGGCAGTCTTACGGAACTGAGTCCTTAACTTCTGGGATCTATTCAGGTAGATAGTATCAGAACTGTCTTCCATTGTTGGATACCTGGCTTATATCAGATAATTGGTTGGTGTGGGAAAAAAATCCACACATTTAGTGTCAGAATTGTTGTTTCTTATTTAACTGTATATCCTGTTCTACATCTTGCTTGCTTGCTTTTAACTTAATATATCTTGGAGATTGTTTCAGATGGAGCTGTCTAGTTATTTTTTTTATTGAGATATAATTGAAATATAACATTAGTGTCAGTTGTACAACATAATGATTCAGTATTTGTATGTTTTGGGAAATGCTCACCACGGTAAATCTGGTTAATATCTATCACTATACAAAGCTACAATTTCTTTTCTTGTGATGAGAATTTTTTTTTTTTAATTTTTTTTTTTTTTAAGATTTTATTTATTTGACAGAGAGAGAGCGAGAGCAGGAACACAAGCAGGGGGAGTGGGAGAGGGAGAAGCAGGCTTCCCGCCAAGCAGGAGCCCAATGCGGGGCTCGATCCCAGGACCCTGGGATCACGACCTGAGCCGAAGGCAGACGCTTAACGACTGAGCCACCCAGATGCCCCTGTGATGAGAATTTTTGAAGACTTACTTTCTTAGTAACTTTCAGATAGACAGTACAGTTTTATTTATTTTTAATTTTTTAAATTTTTTTTTTTTTTTTAAAGATTTTATTTATTTGCGAGAGAGAGAATGAGAGAAAAGAGCATGAGAGGGAGGAGGGTCAGAGGGAGAAGCAGACTCCCTGCTGAGCAGGGAGCCTGATGTGGGACTCGATCCCGGGACTCCAGGATCATGACCTGAGCCGAAGGCAGTTGCCCAACCAACTGAGCCACCCAGGCGCCCCAAATTTTTTTATTTTTTTAAAGATTTTATTTATTTGACTGAGAGATAGAGAGAGCACAAGTAGGCAGAGTGGCAGGCAGAGGGAGAGGGAGAAGCAGGCTCCCCGCTGAGCGGGGAGCCCGATGTGGGACTCGATCCCAGGACCCTGGATCATGACCTGAACCGAAGGCACACGCTTAACAACTGAGCCACCCAGGCGCCCCAACAGTACAGTATTATTAATAATAGTCACCATGCTATACATTACATCCCCGTGATTATTTATTTTATAACTGGAATTTTGTACTTTTGACCACTTACTGCCTCTCTCTGGTAACCACCAATCTGTTCCCTGCATCTGTGAGATTTTTTTTTTTTTTTAATATTTCACGTATAATAAGTGAGATCATATGGCATTTGTTATTCTCTGACTTATTTCACTTAGCATAATGCCTTTAAGGTCCATCCATGTTGTCTCAGATGGCAAGATTTCATTCTTTTTTTATGGCTGAATACTATTTCATTGTGTATATGTACCATATTTTCTTTATCCATTCATTTGTCAATGGACATTTAGGTTGTTTCCATGTTTTGGCTATTGTAAATAATGCCGTAATGAACACGCATATAATATTTCATTGTGTGAATATACAATAATTTATTTAACCACTTCCCTGTTTCCCCCTATGGCACACATTTATCTTCTCAATCTTTTGCTATTATAAGTGAATAATCATGTACATAGACCTTGTCAAAGATTATGAATGTATTTGTAGTATAAACTCTGAGAAATAGAATTTTTGAATCAAAAGATGTGTGCATTTATAATTTTGATAGGTAATAGGTAATACTAAATTGCCTTCATAGAGATATTGCTAATTTATGGCCTTACCAGTATATTGTATTAGAATGTCTACTTTTCCATATATAGTATAGTTAAAATTTTTGAACTTTGCCAATTTGATAGGTAATAAATAGTATCATCAAGTTTTAATTTTTTTTTCATGTCTGACAATGAGAGTTATTCAGTAGCTTGATGAGAAGTTGTGGTTATTTTTTTTAAGATTTTTTATTTATTTGTTTGAGAGAGAGGGTGCCCAAGCATGCATGCATGCTGGGGGGAGGGGCAGAGGGACAGGGGAGAGAGAATCCCAAGCAGACTCCTTGATGAGCACAGAGCCTGATGTGGCGCTTGATCTCATGATTCTGAGATCACAACCTGAGCTGAAACCAAGAGTTGGACGCTTAACCCACTGTGCCACCCAGGTGCCCCTGTGGTTTTTTTAATGTACTGACTTCATAATACACTAAAAAATCGTTTTTGTATGGCAAAAGAAAATTTTTTTTATCAGGATCTGAGACAGGGTGGAGAGGCTTGTGTTTGCTTCTCTCTTCTCTCTTGTCATTTTGAATCTCTTCGTTGGTCCATGTATGTGCATGTACTCATGGTTTGCGAGTGGCAGATCCCTGATAAAAAAGGCCAGTTTGATCATCTCTGACTTTGGTTCTGTTTCTTTGTTTTTTTTTAAAGATTTTTATTTATTTATTTGAGACAGAGAGAATGAGAGACAGAGAGCATGAGAGGGAGGAGGGTCAGAGGGAGAAGCAGACTCCCTGCCGAGCAGGGAGCCCGATGTGGGACTCGATCCCGGGACTCCAGGATCATGACCTGAGCCGAAGGCAGTCGCTTAACCAACTGAGCCACCCAGGCGCCCCGGTTCTGTTTCTTTGTTGATAATAGGTTCTTTTTCTTCTTCATGTATCTCAAAATTTTTTATTGACTGCCAAACATCTTGTGTAGAACAGTTGAAGCCAAAGTACCTAGTATTTATGCCCGGGAATGCACATGCCTGTTGTCACTGTGTTGAATCAGTCCAGTCAGAAGTCGAGCTAGGTTTTGGTTTTGTTGTTGCTATGGTTACCACCAGCTTCACATTTCTGTACTTTACCTTGTGCGTAGGATGGGGGCTGGGTTGCTTGGAAGGTTTTTCTCAGTGTTCCCGTTTTATGCTCTGTTTTCTGCCTTGCCAATGCAGGCAGCTGTGCCTCAGAGGGGGAGGTCTCTATACTCTTGCTCCTTCCCTAGTATAGATTGCTGTTGCTTATTAGTGCTTGCTAGTCTGGAGATGGGTGCAGGAGGGATCCTCTGTTTTCCAAACCAGACTTTATCTTAAGTGGGCGCAGTGTGGCTGGACCTTCGGGATGGGGTTTTCTTAGTATTTCTATCCCTTCTCCCCATGGTATTTATCTACTGCCGGTCTTTGCCAGAGTGTCCAGGCCCTTCCCCCCAGCTTTACTGTACTGTAGAGGATACTGTGCTCCGGACTATTTCCTGACCTACCCCCAAGGGTAGAAGTTTTTGTTTTTTTTCTTCTTTCTTTTCCCTATACACATGGGTGATTACCTGTGCCCTACATGGTTTCAGGGTTACATGCCTTTCTGGCAGCAGTGGCTAATCTCTGTACCTGTACTCTTTAGGGAGGCTTTCTAGTCTCCTGGTCTGCTCCCGTCTTTCCCAGGAGCATCTGGTGGAGGTCTGTGGAAAGAGCCTACAAATTGAGTATGAATTCCCATTGTGTTTGAATGTCCCAGGGGCTTTCTAGTAGCCCTAACATTCTTACCTGTTTGCCTTCCTCTTATACTCTGCTACAGGTGAGAGTGTCCTGAGTATGCATGTGGAGTGGTAGAAGGGAATGTGGGCTGATTCTTCTTGGATTTAAGGCTACTTGGCTGACTTGTGATCTCAGCTTTGTGATGCATTCAAGAAAAGTTGTGATTTTATCCGCTCTCTAGTTGTTAATACTCTTTCCAGTTTTTATTTTTTAATTTTCATTTATTTGTATTATTGACTGGGTTTTATTCTTTTGGCTTTCACATTGTAAGCATAAGCAGAACTTCTTCATTTAGTTTCATGAATAAACCAGGGTCAGAGATATTAATGAATTTATTTACATGATTATACTGAGAAATGAGTTGTCCAGATGTTTGCATTCCATTAATAATTACATGCCCTAGGCGTTTTCTCTTTAGTTCTGTTTAGTTTGACAGAAGTTGTGTATCACCATGCCCCCCAACTTCCATCCCCCAATTCCTCAATGTAAAGGGTTTTTCAGCCTTGAAGGGACTTGGATCTCTGGGGTCACAGATCTTCAAAGGTCTTGAAGTGAGCTTTATTATAGCACTGAATTTTGTTTGTTTGTTTGTTTTATTTGAGTATGACCATGGAATTATTTTTCCTTTCATGCTTTTAGAGTTAAGGGACAAATGAGGCAGGGGGAGAGTTACTACCTGAGTGTAATCTCTTTCTTTTTTTTAAAGATTTCATTTATTTGACAGAGAGAGACACAGCGAGAGAGGGAACACAAGCAGGAGGAGTGGGAGAGGGAGAACCAGGCTTCCCGCGGAGCAGGTAGCCCGATGTGGGGCTCGATCCCAGAACCCTGGGATCATGACCTGAGCTGAAGACAGACGCTTAACTGACTTAGCCACCCAGGCATCACTGAGTATAATCTATTATTACTCATTTAATCTATGTGGTTTAGGTACCCAGGTAACTGCAGCTAAATTCTCTTTGATTCAGACTGCCAGGCATTTTTCCCTCACCTTGGCAAAAACCTTTTTTAAGTATGATTTATTTTTAGTCCCCAAGAATCAAAGTATTTAAGCTCTCCTGATAGGGCCTTACATAATTGCATGAACAACAGAGGTCTTCTGGATATGATTCTAATGAATAAAGATATACATTTTTTGGAGGGTCATGGAAAACTGGCAGTGGGTCTGTTAAATTAATTATTGACAGATTTTGTTCAGTTGTGCTTTTTTTTAATTTCGGAAGAAAGTGGTTTTTTTAGAGTCCTATTTGATCTCTGCTATAATGACATTATGCTTTTTTTTTTCTTTAAAACAGTGTTCCATTTGTAACTTAAAAATATTTTTACTGAATCAGCTCAAATATTTTGTGAAACAAGGACCAAAGTATAAATAAACAAATTGCTGTATACTCAATGCACTCTATGTATCAGACTTCTATTGGGTGTTGCATATATTTATGAATTTAAAAATCATGTTTCAGTCCCTGGGAATTTGATATTAATTGCAATTTAAATGGACAGGTTCGGCCATGATAAAAAATTTTGTGGTGAAATCAGCATTTATGTAAAGTAAGTCTGTAGGTTACAGCTAGGACATTTATTTGTTTTGTTTCTTTTAGATGGAGAGTATTTTACTAAAACATGCTCTTTAGGCTCCTTCTTTTATTGGCCTCCCTATTCTTTTACTAAATATAAAATAAAAATGTGATTTCTCCAGTTTGGAAGATTTGGAATTTTGTGGAGTACTTCCAAAGTAGCTATTGAGGCATGTTGCATCCATCCACTTGGACACCTGCTTAGACTTGTCATCAGTCCAGAAGGACACCTGTGTCCCATTAAAAATGAGCATTGTCATTATCTGCTATTCTGTTGAATTGCTTATTAGCTGAGAGGATGCTGTTAGTTGTGGTAATAAGGATTCATTGAGGGCTAAAAAGTGAGAATGGAATTATACATTGGATTGGATTTTGAGTTTCTTTTTTAAAAATTTATTTTACTGTCATCTGTTTCTTTCACATAAATTTTATAGGACCTATATTAGTTTTCTGTTAACAAATTACCACAAACTTTGTGGTTTAAAACATTGGAAGTTTGTTATCTTGCAGTTCTGTAAGTCAAGTCTGTCATGGATCTCACTGGGCTAAAATCAAGGTGTCAGCAGGGCTTCCTTCCTCTCTAGAAGCTCTAGGGGAAAATCTGTTTCTTCTCTATTCCCACTTTTGAGAGGCTACCGACATTCCTGGGCTTGTGGCCACCTTCCTCCATCTTCAAAGCCAGGAATGGCAGGTTCCCTTTCATGCTCGAATTTCTTCTGTCTTTTTCCATCTCTTTCAAATGTAGGTGGGAAAGGGGAAAGTTTCTCTGCTTTCAAGGACTTGTGTGATTAGATTGGCTCCTGGATTATCCAGATTATCTCCCCATCTCAAAGTCTTTAGCCCTAAGCACATCTGCAAAGCCTTTTTTGCCATGTAGATATAACATTGTTGGAAAGCCATTATTCTGCCTACAACAGAACTCAAACCTTTTTCTAGAAATATTACTTAACTAATTTAAAACTCTATGGTTAAAAGATTATAGGTGTGATTTGAAATAGTGTTGAGAAAATATATGCTATTATCTCTAGCTCTTTTTTTTTTTTCCCTGTTTTCTTAGGTTCAAACTCTTATCTGCTCTCTTAACTTACCTGTTGAACATATTTTCCTAGATATTTTGTAAACACCTTGTTAGCTTTTGTTATATACCAAACCACTCAAGAATTCTTTATCATTGCCCACACATCTGTGGGTCAGCTGATCTAAGCTAGGTGTGGATGGGTGTCTCTTAGGACTTTGTCTGGGCTTGCTGCACATCTGTGAGTCTGCACGTCAGTTGTGAATTGTCCAATCTAGCCTCTAGCCTGGGGCTCTGTGGGGGCAACTCTGTTTCGCAGTCTCTTATTCTCCTGCCTTTGGGGTGGCACAAGCATGTTCTTATGGAAATGGCAGAAATACAAGCATGGAAGTGGGAACACATGAAGCTTCTTATTGGCCTAGGCTTAGAGCAGAGAACTGTCACTTTTGCTTTATTATATTGGCCAAACTAGTCACATGACCAATCCAAGTGCTGGGAAATATGCTCTACCCCTTTAAATGGGAGGAACTGCAAAGTCACCAGCAAAGTGACTTGAATGAAGAGAGGGGATAAAGAATTAGGGTCAGTGATGCAACTAACCCCACACTCAAACTCTGTATTGCCCCAAACTGAACTCATCTCACAAGAAACCTGTTTTGCCTTTATTTCTGGTCTTAATGATACTATGCTATGTCTGGTCACCCAAGCCAGAAACGTAGGAAGTATTGTATAAAAATAGTCTTCTTTTTTCATCTTTATTTTTCTGCAGTATTTACTTTATAAATATCTAATCTCTCATCTTCTCCAGCCTCTTACCATCACTGCTGTCATATCTCCTTGAGAAGAAAGGGAGGGGCTAGTCTTTATATTGTCTCCAATCCGACTTCCTTCAAATCTATCTCTCATATTGTAGCCGGAATATTCTACTGGAAATACAGACGTCACTCCTATTCTGTAGCTTCTCATTGCCTCTAGCGAAGGCCCTCTATGATCTCGATTCTCCAGCCCCATCTTCAGATGTTTCTTGCCTTCTGTTTTGCCCTGTAGTTCAGGAGTCAGCAAACTATGTCTAGTGGGCCAAAAAATCTGTTCTGCCATCTATTTTTGTATGGTCCGTGAACATAGTTCTTACATTTTTAAGTGATTAGATAAAAAAAGAAAAAACAGTATTTTGTGACACATGAAAATTATGACATTTAGGCCATTTGTTTGTAAATAACGTTTTATTGGAACATGGCTACACTCATTCATTTTTCAGTGTCTATGGCTGCTTTCACATTACAGTGGCATAATTGAAATACTGAGGTAAGAGACTATAAAATATTTCCTGTCTGGCCCTTAGAGAAAAATTTTGACCCCTTCTGCTCTCATCAGAATTTATAATAGCTCTCCTTGTGTACTTGTATTCTGTTTGATGACTCAGTAATTTTATTATGTTGTTTCTTTGCCTGGCTAACTCTACTTTTTAAGATAATAGCTTTATTGAGATATAATTTACATACCATTCAATTCACCCATTTAAAATGTACAGTTCAGTGGTTTTTAATGTATTCACACTTTTGCCACCATCACAGTGTTATTTTTAGAACATTTTTGTTAACTTGCGCTAAAACCTCATGCCTATTGGCAGTTAGGCCCCATTTTTCTAACCTCCTCTCCCAGCCTTGGACAATCACTAAATCTACTTTCGTTTCTGTGGATTTGCCCATTCTTGATGTTTCATACAAATGGAACCATAAAATATGTGGTCTTTTGTGACTGGCTTCTTTCATTTGCATAATGTTTTTAAAGTTTATACTTATTGTAGCTTGTATCAGTACTTCATTCCTTTTCACTGCTGATTAATATTTTATTGTGTGGATATATCACATTTTGTATCCATTCATCTGGGTTATTGGACATTTGGTTTGTTTTTACTTTTTGACTGTTAGGAGTAATGCTGCAATGAACATTTGTGTACATGTTTTCATGTAGTCATATGTTTTCATCTCTCTTGGGTATATACTTCAGCTAATTCTTCCTTATCCTTCAAGAATTGATGTTAGGGTCATCTTCTCTAGAACACTTTCCTAGCTTCCTAGACTGGATTAAATGTCTTCCCTGCGGCTCCGAGAACACTGTGTCAAAGTACTTACCCATTGTATTGAAATTATCTGTTTGCATGTCTGTATCCTCTATTCCTCTAAACTTTTGGAGAGCAGCATCAATGCCTTATCCAACTTTGCATCAACTGCAAACAGTACAAAAGTTTACTTAATATTTGTTCAACTAGAAACATTGTAAAGCAGTCTATGCTTTTGAATTAAAATAAACTTAAAAAATAAAAATAAAATAAACTTTATCTTTTGTTATTTTTTGTGTTTTATGTACATTGGCTTTTTATTTTTTATTTTTTTAAAAATGTTATTTATTTATTTGACAGAGACAGACTGAGATAGCGACAGAAATAGCCAGAGAGAGCTTGAGCGGGGAGGAGAGGGAGAAGCAGGCTCCCAGCTAAGCAGGGAGCCTGATGTAGGGCCTGATCCCAGGACCCTTAGGTCATGACCTGAGCCGAAGGCAGATGCTTAACCGACTGAGCCACCCAGGCGCCCCTACATTGGTTTAAAAAAAAAAAAAGTTTTTTTTTTTTTAAAGATTTTATTTATTTATTTGAGAGAGAGAGAGAATGAGAGAGAGAGAACACATGAGAGGGGATAGGGTCAGAGGACGAAGCAGACTCCCTGCCGAGCAGGGAGCCCGATGCGGGACTCGATCCAGGGACTCCAGGATCATGACCTGAGCCGAAGGCAGTCACTTAACCAACTGAGCCACCCAGGCACCCCCCCAAAAAAAGTTTCTTAGAATATGTACTCAGATAACTGATCTTGAATTTGTCTTTTTTTAAGGCCTGCAAAGAAAACAAAAAAAGGTGTGAAAGACAAAGCATCAGATGAGAAAAAAGATGAGATAGAAAAAATAAAGTCATACTCCTTTATGGAAGGCGAACCTGAGGATGATGTCTACTTAAAGCGCTTATATCCAAGACAGATATATGAGGTGGAGAAAGCTATTCAGTTACTTAAGAAATTTCAAACTCTGGACTTTACTAATCCAAAGCAAGGTGTTTATCTTGATTTGACACTGGATATGGCACTGGGGAAAAAGGTATGTAGACTCAACTAAAATAAATTTATTTGTGAACAGGAGCTGTATGAATTGCTGTTTCCTAATTTTTAAAGTTCCTTTTTTCTTATAATAATTTTTGGGAAGTCTTATGTTCTTTCTATACTATGGGATGAAAAATTTTGTTTTTATTTTCCAAATATAAAAATACGTTGAACATACTCTGCAGAGTCGATGAACATTTATCTCCTAGTTACCTGAAAATCACTGGTATAAATTTCATAAAGTAGTGTTAAAATTAATTGAGGTATTACTGTAACTTTGAAAAATGACTTAAGCTGCCTGGTTGTCATATTCCTTTTCTGGTATGAGGGTTTGGGATTAGAGGTATGTTCCTTAGAGTCCTGCGTTGAGACTAAGTTTGCATCAGTGGGGTGCCAAGCCCCTCACTCTTGCTTCAACCAAAACTTTTCTGCTTTATTTGTTTATATGCAGTTCCTTGGATGACTTTTGTTTATAAAACTCTAAAAGTAGTAAAAATACTGAATTAGAGTTGAGGTCCATTACAACTCTAAATCTCATTTAAGAAATCTAATTTTCTTGGAAATGGTATTTTAATTTTTATTCTGAGGATGTCTTTTGGTCAAACTAGAAGGTACAAATTTTTGAATACAGTGTAACAACTTCAACAACAACAGTGGTTGAACACTTAGGAGGAGGCTGTATAGTGTAGCGCTTAATAGCATGGGCCCTGGAGTCAAACTACAGCACAGGCCAGAATCCTGGTGTCACCACTTACTTGCTTTTTGACTTTGGGTTTCTGGTTTAACCTTTTCAGATCTATTTTTTCCGACCTCTTTATAAAGGGAGATAAAATGCTTAGTTTACACAGTTTTTAAGAGGATTAAATGAGGCAGTGCATGTAAAGGACTTGCTAAGTGTTTAATAATCACAATCAACATTTACAGGAAACTTTCTGTGTACCAGCCACAATGCTAAGTGCTTTGCATGCATTTTCTCATTTAATCCTATAATAACCTCAAAAGAGGAAGCTGAGACAGAGAAGCTGAAGTAACTTGTTTATGGTCACAGAATAAGAGGTGAAGTTAGGATTTGAATCAAGGTCTATCTTATTTCATAGTTCTTATTTCTTAGAAACAGTTTATACCAGCCATGCTGTAATTTTATTTTATAGCAGTTTTACTGTTAGTTCTTTTACTTTAAAAATGTTGTAGTATCCAAGATGATCACTTTCTCAGTCAGCCATTAATGTACTGTTGACCCTTGAATAACATAGTTTTGAATTGTGAGGATCCACTTACATGCAGAGTTTTTTTTTTTATAAAGGCAGTATACTACTGTAAATGTATTTTCTCTTCCTTATTTTCTTAATATTTTCTTATCTCTAGCTTTCTTTGTTATAAGAATACAGTATCTAATACATACAGCATACCAAATATGTGTTGGTTGACTGTTTATGTTATCGATAAGGCTTTTGGTCAATAGTAGGCCATTAGTAGTTAAGTTTTGGGGGAGTCAGAAGTTACATGCAGCTTTTCAACTGTGTGGAGGTAGTGCCCCAACACCCGAGTTCTTTAGAGGTCAACTGTGATTCATAATGAAGAGTTGTAGGACCACAAGCTTCATTTCAGAAATGAAAGCCACTTGTAGACTATTAACATTGAAAGGGTACTGTTGTTTTCCTAAGACATTTTTTGTTTTCGATAGAGTGCTTATACAACAAGCCAGTGTTTCCCCAGTATTGTGATTACTTGCCATTGAAATATTTACTGAAACTAGTTGTGACATGTTAATGGCAAAGGAATGCCAGTCAGTAAAATTGAGTTGCATGTCTGATGTCAAGTATGCTTAAGAGTTCGTTCTTTTTTGTCTGAAAAGAAATCCTCCGGAAGTTATCTCTACTCAAAGTTTTGCTAAAAATATAACCTTTCAATCAGTCTGAATTAGGGAACAACCTTTTTTCCCTTTCTTCTAGACTTTAAAACTGCACCAAAACTATGGGCCTAGATTTTCCATGTGAAGTCTAAGTGATATGAGCCACAGGGCTAGACAGGTCCTTGGCTAGAAAACAACAAAGAAGTTCTGAGGCCCTGTAGAATCTCCATTCATATTTGGGTGCCTTAATGCATGCCATTATATATTTTGGATTTTCCAACCGACTTCCCAAAAATCTTTGAAAGTGGTGGGCAGTCCATGTTGTTTCAAAATAGACCCACTCAGAAGAGCCTTTCAGACTTGGCATTCTGTCTTAGATTTAGCGTTAATAGTGACCTACTTAGCAGATTAGCTGGATATTTTCTGTCGTCTATTATGCATAGCTGTGCTCATGTCCTCCTTGATGGTGTTAAAAAACTACATGTTCTTTTGAATTTAATTCAAGTTAGTAAACATTTATTGATATCCATCATGTAGAAAGCATTATACTAGGTGCTGGGAAAGATATGGATATGCAAACACATCACTTAATACATGAGAGATTGTGATGAATGATGTAGAGTTAGAAGCCAAGTGCTGTGGCAGTATGGAGGTGGGGAGAGAGATGCAGATTTTCATTATGATTTCTTAGAAAAGAAATAGAGTCTCTTATGCTTTAAATTGTAATCAGTGAATAGTTCTAGATTAATTAGAGGACATGTGGTAGAATTAAAATGTTGAAAACAAAACATCAGTTTTGTTTTTTTATAGATGTGAGATATATAGAAAAGATGAATGAATTTTTCATTATTATTTTTCCATTGTTGTGTATCTAGAAAAAAGTGGAGCCATTTGCCAGTGTTCTTCGTTTTCCATACCCATTCATTTCAGAAATCAATAAAGTTGCTGTATTTACAGGGGTGAGTAACCTTTGTCAACCTTTCATATCATTTAATTTTTTGTACATATCACATTAATCAGTGCTTAGATTAACTGAATGAGTAGACTATTCACATAGTCTTATTTTCCCCATTTGAAGCAGTTAGATGACTTATTTGAGGTTATGTCATTTGAGAAAGAGCTAAACTAGAAAATTAATTTCATCATTATTAATCTACTACATTATGTTTCTCACAAGAAACTGAAGAGAAATAGAGAATTTGTCCTACTACCTCCTGCTTCCTACTCAGTACTCTCTTCAAATAAAAACAATAAAATTATTATTATTTTTTAAAGATTTTTATTTATTTATTTGACAGAGAGAGAGAGAGGAAGAGCACGTGTGCGCACATGCAAGCACATAAGCACCCAAGCAGGGGGAGCGGAGGCAGAGGGAGAAGCAGACTCCCTGCTGAGAGGGAACCTGATGTGGGGCTCGATCCCAGGACCCTGAGATCATGACCTGAGTTGAAGGCAGATGCTTAACCGACTTTGCCACCCAGGTGCCCAGTAAAATTGTTTTAAAGCAATGGGCCCACTTAGTGCTGTGAAGACACAGAAACCACACTTAAAAATACCTAGTCTGGAAAACCAGGAAAGTCGAGGTTGTAACAAATAGAATTATATGGCTCTTTGTCAGTCTTTTTGTATTATAAACATTTGAAATGTATTTATGAATTTGTTTTGTAGAGTGTTTTCATTTTTCTGTATCTACTTCACTTTCAAGGAAGAGATTCTTTACTGTTTTTTTTTCTAGAAAAGTGGAGAATATAGCTGTTGGAATGCTACAAAACTTGAGTGACTTAAGGGAGTGATATATTTTCACAGTAAAATGAAATGGCATAAAGGGAACATAGAAGATAACTAATACTGTATATATATATATATATATATTTAAAGATTTTATTTATTTATTTGACAGACATAGCAAGAGAGAGAGAGAGAGAGAGAGCACAAGCAGGGGAAGTGGGAGAGTGAGAAGCACGTTCCCTGCTGAGCAGGGAGCCTTATATGGGGCTGGATCCCAGGACCCTGGGACCATGACCTGAGCCGAAGGCAGACGCTTAATGACTGAGCCACCCAGGCGCCCCTACTGTATATTTTTCTTTTGAATTTTCAAACAGCTGGCTAAATTTTTTTTTTTTAGTTTTTAATTCTAGTTAGTTAACATACAGTGTTACATTAGTTTCAGGTGTACAATATAGTTTTGATTCTAGCATTCCTTAAGTAACTTTTCCTCTTTGGTTTGATAAGATGTCTCCATTTAAGTTAGCAAAACTAAATATATCTTAATCTTTTACTTTTGGAAGATGATGTATTGAAGGCATTGAAGAATTAGATTGAGCCACTTCTTAGGTTCCTAATATGTCGTTTCAATGTATTTCCTCATGTGTTAGTCAAGAAACACCTTAATCAACTACAAAGTAAACTTGTTCAGTATACAGTATCTCTGATACATCTGATTGAGAAATGATGCATTTTGAGTTAAAAGTAAAAACCACAATTTTTATTTTGAACTGTGATATTATTTCTTACAAAATACTTGAAATCAGACTGAATTTGTTTAAAGATTGATATTCAAACTATTGTATTTTTATAGAATGCATCAGAGATTAAAATAGCAGAAGAAAATGGAGCTGCATTTGCAGGAGGAATTAATCTAATTCAGAAGGTACAGTGTTGTTTTCATATTCATTAGTTATAGAAATTGTTCTGTTATCTTTGCCATGCATTGATTTATTTCATGTGAAACATAACCACTATGCCTATATCTTTTGACAAATGGTTAGTAAAGCTTTGTAGAATAGGGAAAAATTTTCCTACTCTTTTGAGTCTCAAAATCAAGCTAAGAAAAAACTATCCAGACAGTCTGATATTAATTATGCTTGATTTACATCATGATTTTTTAACCCCTTGTTTCCTATATGTTTGTGAGAGTTTTTGTGGGTAGACTGGAAAGAGCAATATGACTCTTTGTGGTTTTGAATGCAAGATTTAAAATGAAATTTAAAAGGTAGTGATATCATGAATATCACTGTTCATGTTTTGAAGATCAAATATTTGTTCTGCCTTCTTGGAGTGAAAAGTGTGATTAACTTCACAGATCACAAAGGATAATATCTGACCTCTGTAGTAATACAATACTTCTGATTACTCTTAACTTTTACTCCAACCACTTCGGAGTGGCACAGGCTCAGCATGAGGCACCAAGTGGTTATGTAGCCTGTGTTAAGAAAGTAGCAAAGAATTTGTGGAGCTGGTTTGCAATCAGAACAATGTTGTTTTGTTTTGTTTTGTTTTGTTTTTTAAGAGGGAAGAAGAGGCATGTGTGTTGAATTTTGGGCGTTCTTTTTTTTTTTTTTTTAGATTTTATTTTATTTATTTGACAGAGAGAGAGAGAGATAGCGAGAGCAGGAACACAAGCAGGGGGAGTGGGAGAGGGAGAAGCAGGCCTCCTGCCGAGCAGGGAGCCTGATGCGGGACTCGATCCCAGGACCCTGGGATCATGACCTGAGCCGAAGGCAGACGCTTAACGACTGAGCCACCCAGGCGCCCTTGGGCGTTATTTCTGAAAATACAAATTTCTAAAGTGTTCTAAATTTGTTTATAGAATGCCTTTTTGTTTTTATTATTTATTTATTTATTTATTTTTTAAAAGATTTTATTTATTTGACAGAGAGACATAGCTAGAGAGGGAACACAAGCAGGGGGAGTGGGAGAGGGAGAAGCAGGCTTCCCACAGAGCAGGGAGACCGATGTGGGGCTCGATCCTAGGACCCTGGGATCATGACCTGAGCCGAAGGCAGACGCTGAACGACTGAGCCACCCAGGCGCCCACCTTTTTGTTTTTAGAACAGGAGAAAGTGATTTGAAAATTTCTCTTTGCTCCATATCCAGATTTTGATTTGGGGAAAGTTTGCACTGGGCCCTTCCTTTGGGATGTACAAGAGTGTTTGTAGTGTGTTTTTTCCACCCCAATAGTACTCTAAATGTGGTGGGGATTCTGGATTTTTAAGGAGAGTCTCCAGAATGATTTTTGGGAGTAGCACTGGTGGAAAATACGAAGAGATTATGCTTTCATGCAGACTCTGGGTCAAAGTCAGAGGGTGGTATCCAGTTGTTTCTGATGTATCATAAGCTTTAATTTAATAAAATTATTAAAATTCTTTTAATTTTTAAAAAATAAGCAATACCACAGATTCTTTGGAATTAGAGAATAGAGCTTAGTTTCTGGAGCCAGAGAACTAACTATTCTTATTAAATCAGTGTACTGCCTTCCATCTGTTGTTTTTTTTTTTTTTTCTGAAAGCATAAGAGTGTCTTGTAGAACTGTCAAAACAACAATAGTTTAAATGAAGTTAAATGTTAAGCAAGAAATTACTTCTCAAGAAAGAAATGGTAAGGGAGCAGAAAGTCTTCTGTAGAATTAAGTTTATTAAATAAAACATATTTGAAAAAGTAACCCAGGGCGCCTGGGTGGCTCATTTGGTTAAGCGACTGCCTTCGGCTCAGGTCATGATCCTGGAGTCCCGGGATCGAGTCCCGCATCGGGCTCCCTGCTCAGCGGGGAGTCTGCTTCTCCCTCTGACCCTCCTCCCTCTCATGCTCTCTGTATCTCATTCTCTCTGTCTCAAATGAATAAATAAAATCTTAAAAAAAAAAAAAAAAGAAAAAAAAAGAAAAAGTAACCTAAATAAGGAAACCAAGTATATTTTGAAATTATTTGGTAAATAAGACGTTACAGTACAGAATTTCTCTTTAAGGGTGCCAGTGGTGATTGATTACTAGAGGGAAAATGCCAGTTGTATAAGGCATCACTAGCATATTCTTGCAAGTTACTCCATGGAATCTTTCAAAGCTTATCCATGTTATTTTATTTTTTTAAATTTTCTAAAGATTTATTTTTTTACCTGAGAGACAGAGTGTGCACACAAATGGGGGGAGGGGCAGAGGGAGAGGAAGAATCCTTAAGCAGAGTCTGCCCGAGCTCAAGACCTGAGCCAAAACCAAGAGTCAGCCGCCCAACCGACTGAGCCACCCAAGCGCCCCTCATCCATGTTATTTTTAGAAGCTATTCAGATTATGAAATAATTTCGACACTTTTGGTAAATAGTATCATGGCTGTGATTTTTTTTTTACACATTTCTGTACTTTTTAGTTAGGTTAAATACTATTTTACTTAGCACTTATAGAAGGTAAATGTAGGGTAAATTTACTGAACTAATAGTCATTTTTTAAGTTAGGTCTTTAATAAATTCATTTTGTTTCAGAACTTCATTTTTACTTGTCTCTAAAGCATGGTTTTCATTTATATGGTTTTGTATTATTCCAAGAGGTGATCTTAAGGTTAACTTTAACATAACTTTTAAACAGTTTTAAATTTAAAGGAGTGTGTCATAAAATCCGTATTGAAAGGTCTTAGAGTAGAAATTTCACACACAGTTCTTTGACGTTTCAAAATTGCCTCTGTTTTCATATTTCTATGAATAAGAGCCATTGCATATGTTTGAAATCTGGATCTGCTCTTTATAAGTGCACAGACTGACTAATCTGTCCTAAGCCCTCAGTTTCCTGATCTGGGATGTGTGGTCAATATTAGTACTGGCCTCATAGGGTTATTACAAAGACTGGATGAACTAAATCATTTGACATGTTCAGCAGATTGCTTGGTACATGTGGTAAGTGCTCATTTAATGCAAGTTGTTACCATTAAGGGGACCACAGTAAGTTATTTAGGGAGTAAAGAATTTGGAAAAATAAGAATAGTAACAGGAAGGTAAAATTCCAGAGTCACTGCTTAATTTTGCCATGGTACAAGATTTTAGGGTTCACTGTGTAACCCCAAACCATGTCTTTGAATGACATATTGTGGTAATATTATATGCAAAAAGAATCATTGGTAAAATATTTGTTGTCCAAGCAGTATTATTCTAAAAAGTTGCTTTTTTGTAATCAATTAAATGTTTTTGTAATCATTTTGTAATCAACTAAATGTTTAAATGGAGTATATTGTAGTAGTCTAATAATTATTTCGGATGCTTGTCTGAATTAATTAAAACTGTCTTTTAAAAATTGGATATTATTCTTTTTGCTATTAAAATGGAATTAGAGTGTGGATAAATAAATTATAAATGAATTTGTCTTTGACCATCCCACTCCTCTTTTATTTTTAGTTATTGGAGGCAAATAGAATTTTAGTTTCAGTTCTTTGTGAAAATAATTATAGATTAGTTCTCTTGATGCTCTAAATTTAGGAAAGCAGTGTGGTTGCTAGTGATTTGGTTGCTAGTGATTTGAGTATTATTAATTTAACATATGATATATTGCAAAATTTTCAGCATTGTTTCTTCAGTTTTAATGGACATATGAATTCAACTTTGTAGGATTATATGAGCCATGTATACACATCAGTGCTATCTTCTAGTTGATTACACCTTTGCCTAACATAACCCCACAGAAGAATTAAACCCAGTAAATGGGTTTTTGTTTTGTTTTTAAAGGATGTGGCTATTTTTAAAAGAGAACATCAGAAAATGTTTTGGTTCTAATGGTTTTCATAATTGGTAAATGTGTTTGTAGGATCTTTGAAGGAAAGAATTGTGCTTAATGTCTGTTTTCTAAATTATAAGGGAAATTACAACATTATACTTTATTTTCAGAAGGATAAAGCTTTTCATATAATCTAAGGTTATCTTTTTTCCCCTGATTTTCAGATTTTGGATGATGAAATTCAATCAGACTTTTATGTAGCTGTTCCAGAAATAATGCCCGAGCTTAATCCATTAAAGAAAAAGCTGAAAAAAAGATTTCCAAAACTAACTCGAAGTAAGGGAGAATTCTTTTTACTATTTTTATATGCGTCAACAACTTTCTAATATGTATGTTTAGTTATAAAACAAAACTGCTAATATATATGTAGAGTAAATAATACGTTCTGGTATTTAAATTTCATGTTGTGTAAGAACATGTGGATTTGATTTTTTTTTTCTTTTGGCATTAATATTGGTAATCTAATAATTTGAAAACCTAGTTACTTTATGATACCAGTTCTTTAAATTTAGGCCATATTCAGGTTTGAAATTAATGGCACATATTACCCATCAGGTATGTTATCATACTGTTTTATTTTATTTTATTTTATTTTATTTTTTATTTTTAAAGATTTTATTTATTTATTTATTAGAGAGCGAGCGAGAGAGAAACAGCATGAGAGAGGAGAGGGTCAGAGGGAGAAGCAGGCTCCCCGCTGAGCCGGGAGCCCGATGTGGGACTCGATCCCAGGACCCTGGGATCATGACCTGAGCTGAAGGCAGTCGCTTAACCAACTGAGCCACCCAGGCGCCCATCATACTGTTTTATACTTATTTATCAATATAATATGTATGCTTATTTATGTCAGCATTCAACATATATATTTATATATTATATAAATACACACATTTATATACACATATATGCATATATATATGTATATATGTGTATATAAATACTTACTGTGTACATGACTCTGTAGATATTTCCTTAAGGAACTTTCCCCTTATGGATATTTCCCCCTTAAGAAATCTAGTAGGAGGTAATGTTGCTACATAAATAGCCATAGTGTTAAGTATTATATGATAAATTCACAGGATGCCAAAGGTGTTTAGTAGAGGAGGATTTCACACATTGTTGGGGAAATCAGAGAAGGCATGCTGAAGGAGGTAACATTTATTTATTTTTTTTTAAAGATTTTATTTATTTATTTGACAGAGAGAGAGAGGGAACACAAGCAGGGGGAGTGGGAGAGGGAGAAGCAGGCCCCCCGCCGAGCAGGGAGCCCGATGCGGGGCTCGATCCCAGGACCCTGGGATCATGACCTGAGCCGAAGGCAGGCGCTTAATGACTGAGCCACCCAGGTGCCCCAGGAGGTAACATTTAAACTGTAACTTGAGTGGCACCTGGCTGGCTCAGTCAGTAGAGCGTGAGACTCTTGACCTGGAGGTTGTGAGTTCAAGCCCTACGATGGGTATAGAGATTACTTAAAAATAAAAATAAAATATATTTTTTAAAAGATTTTATTATTTAATTGGCAGAGAGAGACAGCGAGAGAGGGAACACAAGCAGGGGGAGTGGGAGAGGGAGAAGCGGGCTCCCTGCCGAGCAGGAAGCCCGATGTGGGGCTCGATCCTGCAACCCTGGGATCATGACCTGAGCTGCAGGCAGTCGCTCAACCAACTGAGCCACCCAGGCACTCCTAAAAATAAAATCTTAAAAAAGAAAATAAACTGTAACTTGAAAGGGGTGCCTGGCTGGCTCAGTTGATAGAGCATGTGACTCTGGATCTCAGGGTTGTGAATTGAAGCCCCACGTTGGGTATGGAGCCCACTTAAACAAACAAACAAACATAAAAACTGTACCTTGAATAATTGGATGAGTGGATTAAGGGTGGTATTATTTTATATAGAAGGAATCTATTAATGATATACATTGAAGTAAGTCAGATATTATAGGCCATGTACAAAAAATATCAGTTAATTCTCTTTGGCTTGTAGTGAATGGTACCCCTACATTGAAATGAAAGAAAATAATGGGAATCATATTGGAAGATGGATACCATATTGAGAAAGATCTTGAATAAGATCCTAAGAAGCTTGGACTTTTATTCTGTTTTTAGCAGGAATCTCTTAGAAGTTCTTATTATTTATTTATTATTTATTTATTTATTTTTAAAGATTTTACTTATTTATTTGAGAGAGAGAGCACAAGCAGGGGAACGGCAGAGGGAGAGAGAAGCAGACTCCCCGCTGAGCAGGGAGCCTGACTCGGGGCTCGATCCCAGGAACCCGGGATCATGACCTGAGCCAAAGGCAGCTGCTTAACTGACTGAGCCACCCAGGTGCCCCTCTTAGAAGTTTTTAAAATGGGGAGTTCCTTAGAGCTTTAATCTAGAGAGAATTTATAAGATGTATTGGCATTAATCAAAACTAGAAGTTGGGAGACCAGTTTAAGTGCAATTGCCAGAGACTAATAAAGGTATTATTTAAACTAAAGTCTTCATGATGAGACTGTAGTAAGGCGATAAATGTCAAAGACACTAGGTCTTTGTGCTACAGTTAGGAATGGACAGGTTGAGGGAGAGAGAGGCAGGGAGTCATATGATGCTGAGATTTTGAAGCCTAGGGATCTCCTAATAAGTTGATATTAATGGAAACAGGTAATAGATTAGGGAGGAATATTAAGTTCATTTGCTGACATAGTTTGGTTTGGGTGTGCTGAATTTGGGGTAAATTTTGTAGTATAAACAGAACAAGTATTTCAAATTGTTTTAGTAGATTCGTGTTCAAATTTTAATTCAAGTTGAACTAATTCATCAAACATGATAGCCACTAATATACTTAACCTGAATTATAGATCATGTTCTGTACTTTAAGCAAATTCAAATGTCCTCTCCGATTCTTTTATTGTTGTAGAATTTTATTTGTTTTTGGTAACCTGCACTGAATAACACATCCTTATTAGATATCTGACTGAGGTTTGGTACGTTTTGTTAGGGATATCCATTATGGGAGTATCTGTTGTCATGGAATCAGACTTATATTCTTTCCTAAGTAAAACCTGAAACTGAACATTATTTTAAAAATTTAAACCAGAATTACAGTTGAATTTGATGAAAATATTTTTCAAAATTTTTTTTGTTTCCAATTAAATTCAAGCTCACTAAAACCAAACAATACTAAATATAGTCAATTAAAAGTGAAACTGAATACCAAATATATCAGTATCCTGTCATCTCCTTGCTTTACACAGTGAAATGATTTTTCATAGAAATTAACTTTGTCACCTTTGCTACTTTTCCATTCTCTAATAATCCTTTTGGCCTCAATTTTCTTTATTCTTCAGGCTTGAGTTATTTTTATTACTGTTTTCATAATAAAACTTGAGACTATTTTTTAGCCTGAAAGGTTTTCAAATAATTTATTTCTTTATCTCAAATAAGAAAACTGTCCCTTTAAAATGTTTATTTTTTTAATTGACTTTCCTTTATTTACACTTTCATAATGAGTCATAGCTTCCATATACCATGGTCAAGTTTCCTAGGTATGTAGTCCCCCCGCTTCCATTTGCTTTAACAAAGCATGAAAAAATAGACCTTTCTCCTTCTCTAACATTGTCTTTTCACCCCCCGCCCACCCCCACCCACCCCCGCCCCAGGATCTGTTTAACAGCACTGGCAAAACATTTGTGTTCTTTAAACATGAAGACAAACGATTAACCTGTCAAAAATGTTAAAACAGAATACACCAGATGTGCATTAGAACAAATGAGGCTTGTATTATGCATTTTCAGAGCTTATTCCGATTTTTGTTTAGGAACATTTGATTCCCCTTATATCCAACAAAGACTTTAGGGTAAAATAGAAACTACGTTTTGAGCAAATGGATGAAATTAAAAAACAAACAAACAAGCCCCTGCAGCTGAGCTCATTAGTTTCCCATTTTGTCTTACATTTTGTTTTACTAATGGGAGTGGGTGTAACTGTCTTGGCTGGATTGAGTGTGCACATTTTGCAGCATGTTTAATGCTGCATTTTTATTCATTTTATTTTAATTGCTTACGTAACTGTAGGCAAGTTCTCTATTTTTCAAATGCACATTTGGCTTCTTTTTCTAGTATTATTTCTTTTTTATTTTTTAAAAGCATTTAAAACTTGCTTTTTAAATTTCTTGGAAGAAATTGGGCTTCATTTTGCTTATCAACTAGCTTTTTTTCTTCCAATGTAAGTGCCCTCTGAAATTCTTTCATCTTTAATATAGATAGGTTTTATTGATAAATTGGATTTTTAAATTGCTAACCTATCTTTTAGCACTTACTAAACAAAAAATACGAGTATGAAAAATATCTTGACTTAGTGGAATTAGTTTTTTATTATACATATTAACCCATGAATGGGTATTATGGCATATATGGAGAAAGTTGAATTCTTTTAAACCATGCTAAGTTATCGGCAGGTAGGTGGAAAAGGGACATGATTAGGAAATTGGACTCACTAATGTGTATTCCTCTTAACGCATAGTGCTCCAGTTGGAGTCTTGTCAAAAGGATATGGTAGCAGTCTTGCCCAAAGAGTATCCATATCTACTGAGTAGGACACCGCTTTCTGTATGGAAGTTGGTGTTGTTAATCATATTTGAGGCTAGTGGATGTGAACTTACTGAAACTTAATGTGAAATATTTTTAATTCATAGATTGACATTATGTACTTAAAGAGTATTGGTTGCATTATTGAAATAATTAGAACTCTTTGGTTATATAAAGAAACATACTAAGACATAGAGAATTTTTGCACAGTAATGAATTCGAAATTTTCCAAATTTCCCCCCTCATGTATTAGTTTAAAAACTATGTGTGGGGGCGCCTGGGTGGCTCAGTCGTTAAGCGTCTGCCTTCGGCTCAGGTCATGATCCCAGGGTCCTGGGATCGAGCCCCACATCAGGCTCCCTGCTCAGCGGGGAGCCTGCTTCTCCCTCTCCCACTCCGCCTGCTTGTGTTCCCTCTCTCGCTGTGTCTCTCTCTGTCAAATAAATAAATAAAATCTTTAAAAAAAAAAAACTGTGTGAAAGACTCCAATGATTATTATGAATAATTATAATTATTAGAGATGAATTATTGATATATTACAGCTGGTTCTATTATTCTTTCCTTCATTTCCTTTACTCTAGCTATAGTGGCCTCCTTGTGCTTTCTCACACACATTAAGTGTTCTTCCTTCTCTGATCTTTGGACTTACTGTCCCATCTGTCTGTAATGCTCGTTGCTTATTAGCTTGGTTCACTTCCTCATTCAAG